GCCACCAGCCGGCCAGTTTCTTATCTACTGAACAGTCCACCCATTGAACCCATATCTCTCCAAATTAGAAGGGAGAATGCTATGGGGGACGGTGTCAAAGGCCTTAGCAAAGTCAAGATAGATGATGTCCGCAGCTCCTCCCTTGTCCACCAGTGCAGTTGCTTCATTATAGAAAGCCACCAGATTGGTCAGGCAGGACTTGCCCCTAGTAAAGCTGTGCTGACTCTTCTGAATTACCTCCCTGTCCTCCATGTGCCTTAACATTTCTTCTAGGAGGGTCTGCTCCATGATCTTCCCAGGCACAGAGGTGAGACTGACAGGGCAGTAGTTCCCAGGGTCTTCCTTTTTACCCTTTTTAAACATAGAGGTGATATTTCCTTTCTTCCAGTCACTGGGAACCTCACCTGACTGCCAGGACTTTTAAAATATTATGGACAGTGACTTGGCAACTGCATCAGCCAATTCCTTCAGTACTCTGGGGTGCATCTCATCAGGCCCCATGGACTTGTGAATGTTAAGGTTCCTCAGACATTCAAGAACCTTGTCCTCGTTGACTGTGGGAGGGGCTTTGTCTCCCTGGTCCCTGTCTCATAGGCCATCCACTTGAGAGCTGTGAGGAGAGAAGCTGCCATTGAAGACTGAGACAAAAAAAACTTGTTCAGGACCTTGTCCTTCTCCTCATCCTTTGTTACTAATTGCCCTTTGCTGTTCTCAGGGAGGGGATGCCTTCTTTAACCTTCCTCTTCTGGTTAATGTACCTATAGAAGCACTTTCTGTTTTCCTTTGCATCTCTTGCCAAGTTCAGCTCCAGCTGCACCTTGGCCTTCCTCACCTCATCCCTACACAACCGGGTGGTGTCCCTGTGCTCTCCCCAGGATACCTGTCCCTGCTTCCACTGCTTGTGCAGTCTCATCTTGTCTTTTAGTCTGGCCAGCAGATCTTGACAAAGCCGTGCTGGTCTACTTCCTTCCCTACCCGATTTCCTACAGCTGGGAATAAAGTTCTGCAAATCTGTGTGGCTGTTCTAAAATTTATTTTTTTACATCTCTGGCATAAGAAAAAAAGTGTATAAACCATAATATAAGAAGACGTGCTCAAGATAGTCTTCTTTATTAGTAAATTATTTCAATAATGTTATTTCATGTGCAACATTTCTTTCATGCTAAAAGATTTCTTTGTCAAGATATATTAATAAGGAATGCCATGGATGACAGAGCTGATGAGCTATATGGGCCGCAGTCTTAAAATCTTTGTCTTGTCAACCTCAATTTGAACAGCTTCAGTGGCAAGGGTGGTGGAGGAGGGCAGAGAATTAAATCCAAGGTCTGTTAGGTCAAACTTGATTGAAGTTTATTGAGGATGATCAAGAGAAATTGATGATGAGCACACTGTGTGAAGGTAAACAGGAGAGACACAGCAAAAGATATCCGTCACTAGATTATTTCTAAATGCTCAAATTTCTTAGTAGACTCAAAATCTGACATAGCCTCCTTTTTCTTATATGCTTTGGAAATATTTGGGAAATTACATGGAGAGAAAAAAAAACCTGATGCTAGAATGATTTCCTACTTCACTCTTTAATAAAGTAATCAGCCCTGTTTCTGCCAAAATCTTGGAAGTTAAAAGTTAGGTTTGTATTTTAATGACGCATCCACACAGCCTCTACCAACCAAAAGCTTTTAAAATAGGTAATTTTTGAGCTTTAATTGTATGGTAGTGATAATGGCTTCCTGTCTTCTTCTCTGAAACAAATTCCTGCAGAGAGAATGTTATGATTTGTAAAATAATGGATGGTTTTGAAAACTCTTATTCTAGTGTGTGTTATGTGAAATTAAAATATTGATACATACTGTGCTGATTTCAAAGGATTCTTCAAGCATGTTGCTTTTGCAGTACTTCAATTTCTGTTTTTTAAAATAGGGTTTGTTTTTTAAATTACAATTTTTGTTTTAGTTAAACATACTACATAATTAATCCTACAAAGAATAAGGCTTATTCCTCTAATTGTTGCTATACAAAAGCATGTAGAGATAACACTGTTCTGAAGAATTTTTGTATAATGACAATAGTTAATGGTTACTGAAGATAGGGCAGTGTAATGCGAGTTCCAAGGTGTAATGGAGGCTAGCATGGTTTTCAGTGATTATTTTCTGCTGGGTTTTGGATTTTTAATTAATTTGGAGCAGAAGTAGAGTGAGAAGGAACAGAAAGGTTTGGGACAGCAATGTCAAAGGAATAATGTGGGGAGAATAACATCTTGCCTTCTAAGCTAAAGCCAAGGTAAGCAGGTGGTTTTTGTGTTTGTGGCATTAAAAGGCTTACTGATGAGTAGGATAAAACAGCCTTCCTGAGACTTTTATGGTAGCTGTTTTTCACTATTTTCTGTGGTGGTAAAGAACTTGTTTTCCTATGTAACGTTGTGAACACTAACAGCTTTTCTGGAGCTGGAACAAGGTCTGAGCAGCCTGTGTCAGCCAAATAAGCCTTGATCTTGTAATTGGAGCTAAAATGTATGTTGGAACATAAGTATATGATTTTAATAATGTTTAAAGTATCTTCATTTGTCTTTCTACTGGTAGAAAGTAATACAGATATATACTTTAAAAATTGAATGGAATCAAATGCTTTGTAAGAAACGTTACAGCTACTTATGAATTCTTTTTCTAAAAATGGTGGTTAAACTTAGTCCTTTTAAAATGTCATAATCCCTGGAGAACAAAATATTCTTAAATTAAATTTTATTAGCACGGAAACATCTTGTAAAAAGAAAAATTGATTGTTGATCCTTACCCTACCACCATCTCCCAGTATATAAAGCTCAATTGTTTCCATATACTAAGGTTAAAAATATTTTTGGCTAAATTGAAGGATGGTTTTTCAGAATGCATTCTCATCATAAAAGTACTGGTTACATGTCTTCTAAGTTTTAAAAATATTAATAAAAAGGAGACACAAATAAGAGACAGTCTTTTCTCTGGAATGTAAAGTACTTTTGTAATTCTTTGCAATTCAGTTGCAAAATTATCTTCTGAAGTTTCAGTAGGTGCAATTTTATGTTATTCCAGCTGTGAGAGAAAGAAAGAAAAAAATGGTCTGTTCTAGTAATCTGTTACATATTAGCAGTCTTGTTAATAGCAATAAATCCTTTAATTTTACTTTTTTGGTTTAGAAGTAGAATGTAGTTGTTTCAGTTCCTCTTTGATGAGTGTTTTTTTAAAACTTGCCATCATCCTTTTTTGCGTTCAATTCTAGTCAGTTTTATCAAAATTACCCTTCTAGCCTTAATTAATTTCCTGCCATTTTTGTTTTGTAGAATTTACATTTTGTCTTGCGGTCTGATGTATTGGCCATTCCTCACTTTCTAGGCAGGTCTGGTCAGAGAGGTGAAAACAGGGAAAATGGTGTGGTATCTGTTGTGCACAAGCTCAAGTTACAAATGGCATTCTTCTCTTTCTTTCCCTTCCCAAAAGGCACTGAGGCGTGAACTGAAGGATAAAGAGCAAACCATTCTCAATGCTGTTGACCAAGCACGAGTTTTCCTTGCTGACCAACCAATTGAGGGGCCTGAAGAACCAAGAAGGAGCTTGCATTCGAAAACAGGTCAGAAAATACTCTCTTCTGGGAGTGGTCAAAAGAAAAGAAAGATAATTCCTATGTCTCTAGTGCATATCTTATATATTTTACTTGGTTAGACTTGTTTTCCAAACTGCATCTTGATTGCTTTTATTTCAATTATTTTGCCTCCGTGTTACTACTCTGCTTTGTTAAGTACTTATGTTTTAACAGAAGCAGAAAAATCTGTTTCCTTTTCCAATTTTTGATTCAAAACAGTGAAGTATTCTTTTCTGTTTTCTTAACACAGTAACAAATGTACCTTAAATGTAGTCAGAATAGTACTTCAAGGATGCGTATGCAAATTCATATATGTTGTTGTTGCAAAGTTTTACTCCACAACTAGAAATAAATAAATTTGGTGATGTATCTCATTAGAAGTAAAAGGAATGAGCTTTAGGAAGGCAGCCATTGCAAAATCTTCATGACTAGAATGTTAGATGAATTATTACCAAGGAGTAAACCACAGCTGTTCTAGAAAGAATATTTGCATAGTATTCGTTGAGATATTTCTCTCTATCAGAATATAATATGCCAATAAGTAGGTAATAGTCTTTTCTCTGTCCCATCCCTCATAGCTGTAAAATAGAAAACTGTATCAAGTATCTCTGTAATTAAGTCCTAGAATTATGTTTCTGATACAAGCTAGAACGTTACAAAATCTTTAATTACCTAAGAATTATTGTTGGAAAAGTTAGCAATCTGCTTTTACAGAAGTATCAGCTGCTCTAAGATGTGAATAATTTACTGTTCTGTATAATTTACAAAATTACAGTATCTCTGCACAGATCAGGAGTTAGCTTTTTCTTCCCATATATCTTTCTATACATCTCCATAGCAAACTTTTAAAGTTTGTTCAGTGGAAAAAACAGATCTTTCCTGCATCCATACTATGTGTTATTTCCCTGCAAATTTTTTTATGGTTTTATATTCCCTAATTCAGCTTTGTGATACAGTTTGAATAGCTGGTGATTAATGCCAGTGAACCATTTTCCCCTGTGATTAGTTCTGGTACCTTAGCTCCTGTAATGTATCTTACTATTTGCTTTTTGAACTCCTGGAGACATTGTGTTCGTCTTTACTCTCAAACTCACTTGATTATTGCATCTCTAATGTTTGAGTTGGTCTAAATCACAAGCAACCCTGCAGCTGAAAAATAAGGAATGCTTGCTATATGCTCATTCTTTCACATAAAAGTTTGAAGCCAGAGATTTTCCTCTCAAAAGCTATAGAACCACACAGCACAAATGATGCCAAGGCATAAAATGTTCATTTGCTAGCTGGAGTTAATATCAATGATTGAGTCAGTGTTGACTGAAAGTGTAAGAGCAAACTTCAGGTGATGAGCTGCATCATAAATTCTTGTTATGCAATCTGTTGTTGGTATTATTATTAGCACTGCTATTTTGTGCTATACAGATGGCAGTGATAACAGAATAGCAGAGAATTTGATGGCCATAGTAAACTGACTGGGAAGCTTCATACATTTGAATTGAACCTGGTTTCCTCTTCCTTCTTCACACTCAGTAGTTCCATAGACTCTTTTTTTGAGCATGTGCCAAGTTAAACTTGCCTACCAGCCAAGCTCCCATCCATCTGCACAGTCTCTTACTTTAACCTCGGTGGTATGAAGGCAGAAACTAGGAAGAATAGGAGCAAGAAAGCTCCTGGATCAAGATCGAGACAGATGCAGATCCCTTACAAACTACTGTTTTGGGTCAAAGAGAAGCAGCTTGGAAAAAAAAAAAATATTGACATTTAAAATAAATATTTAATTACTGGTTCAGTAGTGGGAAATAAAAAGTCAAAAATTAAAAGTAGAGCTTTCCTTCCCCCTTTCCCATGTTCAACTTGACTCCAACATTCCCATCTCCTTCCCACCTTGTAATGACTGTAGGTCATGCTCAGGGCAATGAGTGTGTGAGAGGGTGGGAAGGTGGTGATGGTCAGCCTAACAGCTTCTCTCTGCTTCTCCTTTCTTCTCACATCTTTCCTTTGTTCCAGCATGGACTGTCCATGGAGAACATCTGACCTGCCATGGAGCTGCTCCTCCCCCTCTGACCTTGATGTTCCCTCTGCTGTTTCTCTTTCTTGTTTCTCCTCCTCTCTCTCTGGAGTTTTGCTGTTTCTTAAATAGGCTTTCCCTGAGGTGCCAGCAGCATGGCTGAGGGGCTCAGCTGTGCCCTGTGGTAGGTCCTTTCGAGCTGGCTGTCCCTGTCATAGCCCCAGCTTCTCCTCACAGAGACACCCATGCAGCCCCTGCTGCCATCAGAGGGCACCTGGACCCCGCACAGAGAAGGCTGCACTTTCTGTAGACCAATAGACTTTCAGGCCAAAAGGCATCTTTGAATCTTCTGCTCTGATGTCTTATATATCATAAGCTGTAGAATTTCACTCAGGATTGAGTCCAGTGAATTTTTTTCTGACAAGTAATGCCAGTGATCCCAGACAGCTGCATTTCTGGGTTTGAAGACATCCAGGCACACACAATTTATCTCCTGAGTAACCATTTTCAGTGAAGGCTGTGGGTGTGGGCTTATGGGTGTTTTTAAAATGTTTCTCTCTTTTTTTTTTATTTTCTGTCAGCCTTTTCATCACTGGTGTTCTCTGCAGTCGATTAAAGTCAACTCCTTAATTTCTGTGAAGTACACTTCCTATTGCTATAGGGGAAGGAAAGTGGGTTTGGATTGTAAGCTGACAGTCTGTGTCTTTAAAAAAAATATCAGTGAGCAGTACACGGCACTGTATAGTCATTATTTGAACATGATTTTGGCTACTTCTATAATACAAATAGCCAAAACTAAAAAAACAAACAAACAAACAAACAAAAACTATATTTAAAAATCATACTTGCATTAATTGGAGAATCACTGTTCCTTGAGGTTAGATCTTGCCTTGTGTAATGGCAGGGGTGTTTAGGGGGGAGGGTAAGCTAACCTAAAGAGGACAAAGATTGTAATATCCTTTTCTATTTTCTCCCTGTCCATGTACTACTTCTCCCCATCCTCTACCTCCACCCCCCTGATCTTTTAATGCAAGGGAGGGCATTGTTGCAAGGATGAGGAATGAGATTAATTTAGGAGAAAACTTATAAGAATCAGTTTTGAACTTGACTGACTGAGACCTATTTTGAGGACCTGTGCATACATACATTCATTGTTCCATCCAAAGATAATATTTGCTATAGGTTGCCTTATGATAACTCATTACTGTCTTGTAATGTTCCTGTTAATTTCAAATATATTACAAGAATATAAAATCAGGTTCTAAGCATCCTTTGCTGCTTCTTTCCCATCTTGCTTCCTGTGTTGGCCTCCTACTGTACCTCATAAAAAACGGCACATTCAAACACAGTTCTTCAGCTTCCAGGAAGCTTCCTTCTAAGTTAATTTTATCTCCTATCTGTCTTTCCTTCTGATTTTGTTTTGCTATGTTTCCTTAGGGAGGCCCTGTCACAAAAAAGTAAGCTTTACATTCTTCCTGCTTTTGAACTGCTTCAGTATCTTAGTGGAGCAGAGTGATAAACCAGCAGGCCAACTGCTGAATTTTATAGATAGGACAGGATAAGGAAACTGGAAATACATTTTTGGCTTTGTTGTCACTTGCCCATGGTAGAAGAAAAAAACAGATCTAAAAGTATTAATTCTCTATGGCATAGTTACAGTTGGATTCTTAGATCTTTGTACTGCTAGTAAGGTTACAGGCCGTGAGGAAGAAAGAAAAAAAAAAAAAACAGGCAGAAATAATATTTTCTGTCCTCAGGTTTCTATGAACTGATGATACAGCTTTGCTGAAATTCTGTCTTTAAAATTTCACTGATGCAGTGAGGGAGCTGAGATAATTTATTTATTTTTTAGAAAAAGATAACATAAACTAACATACTAGCAGATTACCACAGACCACTACGATGATTCTCACGGCAACAGCGAATGTTCCCAGGAGTCTGCAATGTTGTTGAAATGCTTGAATAGCTTCTAGTTTTCATATGGCAATCAGATTGCTAGCTTTGAAAGATGCTATTTGGTAGCCAAGATTCCCATGATAAGCATGTCATTTAAAATTAAGTACTTACCATCTGTTATCTCCTCTTAATTGGAAGTATAGAAAACCTCATAAATCACATCTGTGTTATAAGAGAAAGATATTAATAGATATCAGTGAATTGCATGCATATACTTTAAATTAACTTACAGACACACTGTTTCAGACAAATAAAAGTCAAACTTCTTCACTTCACACAATCAGGTAAATTCCCTGCCACAATTTTTCCTCTTAGCAAGGAAGATCTCACTGGAAATAAGTAATTTACTGTTTGCTAATGTATACAGCAGGCAGCATTTCTGTTCCCAACCACTTCTGCATGTCCACTAGCTATCACACACCACTGGTACAGTTTGTTGCACTCTGCAGTGCAGCTGGGCAGAGTATGGTGTCTTGAGTGTGAAAATTAGAAATGCTTAGGAGAATGAAGAGCGTATAGCCCACTGGAGGTCAGTGGAGTCATGCCCCAAAACTACGTACAATATTTTGACCACTGCTATCTCTGTTTTAATTTAAGGTCATTCATTTGTGACTTTTGAGAGGTTCTTCAGAAGGTTAGAGAAACATGCATTTACCCATGAGAGAATCCCAAACTAAGTATTTCTCTCCTTTTCACCCTCTCTTAGTCACCCTACAAGTTTAGTCCACTTGGGTAGAACCTTGAAACTCTTCCTGTAGTGTCTACGTGGTCGCTTGCTTGCAGTCATGTTAGTAAAGTTGGAGTAAGTTATTTCCATTTGCCGAGTGGTGTGGAGTGCAAACTTGGAGGAGTTTTAAGCCTGAATTTTTAACAGCTGAGTGTTGGAAACAGGCTGGCCTGAGGCTATAGTGGTTAATTAAATTATTGTGAGTTTTTAACCATGAGGGCCTCAGAATTTAAGCAAGGTTGTATTAATTCCTGGCCTGTATGCTCTGTTATAGCCCAGTTTTAGCTGTAATATAGGATGCTTCCATAGTGGAAGCTGTGCTCTTAAAGTTAAACTATTGTGTTGTTTTAAAGACTTCAAAAACCAGTAAAGCTTTGTCTGCAAGAGACTTCTCAGTTACACTACTAGCAATGCAGATGATTGATGGATGTAAAAGGTTAGGACCTTGTCTGAAAGAAAATTAGGCTGAGGACACTTGCTTGAACGTTCAGAAGGTGGATGCGTTTAAGGCCTGTGTTGTTACAGGACACCAACAAGTCAGGGAGCTTTATCTTTTGTGCTGCCTGACATGTCTATTTCCTGATTTTGTACTGGTTTAGAGTAAAATAGATGTCTTTGTTTTGCTTTGCAATGCTGTTAGGGGATGTATATCTGTCCCTTGCTGAGGAGCTACCTGCTATATTGTGCTGTGGCCCCAGAAAAATTGTTACTGAACCTTGGAAGAAATAAAAGGCTTGTTACAATCTCCTGTTGTAGTGCTTTGGAAAGAAACATAGGGTTAATTCTTTGCTTGCCTAGATTAATGGAGATATAGTGGTGATAGCCTTCTCCCCATTAGTACTCTCCCTTCAACAGGAATTGGAAGAAGGCGTAGTAGTAGCTTGGTGATGCTGTAACAGTACTGTTATATTTGCATTTTTCTAAGTTTGTGGCAGGATCAGGCTAAAAATGAATTCATATCTGATTTAGGTTCCTGGACCAGCACTGACTTTGGGCTTCCACAGCACAAAACTCAGGATTGCTGCAATCTTTAGCTTTCTGGAGATAGATGTTATAGAATCATAGAATGTCTGGGCTGGAAGGGACCTCCAAAGGTCATCTAGTCCAGCCCCCCCGCCATAAGCAGGGACACCTCCAGCTAGATCAAGCTACTCAGAGCTTCATCCAACCTGATCTTGAATGTCGCCAGGGCCGGAGCCTGCACCACCTGTCTGGGCAACCTATTCCAGGGATCTATCACCGTCCTACTGAAGAACTTTTTCCTAATGTCTAACCTAAATCTCCCCTTTTCTAGCTTAAAGCCATTACCTCTTGTCCTGTCTCTACAAAACCCTGTGACTAGTCTCTCCCCTGCTTTCTTGTAGGCCCCTTTCCAGGTACTGGAAGGTCACTATAAGGTCTCCCCGGAGCCTCCTCTTCTCCAGGCTGAACAACCTCAACTCCTCAGCCTGTCCTCATAGTAGAGGTGCTCCAGCCCTCTGATCATTTTTGTGGCTCTCCTCTGAACACGCTCCCAACAGCTCCACATTATGGGACAACTTAATTATCTCTTTTAAGTCGAAGCTATTTTCTCTTTGTTTTCTCCTTATGAATCTTCTCCACCAGCACCCACTGAGAAATATCAACAACCATTATTAAAGGATATGTATATTTACTAGCATTATTCCTATTTGTGTTTATCTGCAGCAAATACTCTGGGCCCTTTCCAGAAGTATTCATCTTTGGCGAGTTTAACAGCTTTCATTGTCTCTGCTTTTGCAATTCTGTCTCTTGCAAACCAAAAGTAATTTGTCTTTTATCCTCCAGAGACTTCTTCATTCACTTTTGATTTAATTATATTTCTCTGATTTTAAGAACTTTCAGTCTTGATAGAAGAAAACCCAAAGGGGTAAAGATGAAACTGACTGTACTTTTCCTTTGTTTTAACCACCTATGCAATAGATATTCAACCCGGAGAAAAAAGGCAGCATTACTGGGTTATGCTTGCATGGCTGGGTGCTTGGAGTCTGACTCATTGTTATGTTTCCACATTAATCAGCTTATTCTTTGAAATTCCTATTCCCATTCCCTCAGAACTAAGTTTTCTGTGTAGGTTCTTAGAAACCCAGAGAATATTTTCACTGGAGCAATGCTAAAGACTGCATCATGTATTGATAACATTGCTTTTGGTTCTTCTGCTTAGGTGTTTGACAGTGTGCTGGTGTATCTGTTCAAATGCTCTAAAAGCTCTCAAAATTATTACAGTGCTGTGTCAGCCATTGTTTTTTGCTGCAAAGATTGATTGAACCAAGGATGATACAACATTTCACATAGTGGAAGAAAGAGGGGGCATGAAATCAGCTCCAGTTCAAGTATATTTTATTAAGAATATAGGAAGAGTGAAAGGAAGTTAATGTAACAAGTACCTTTAAAAAACAAATAACAGGTGAAAGCTGATCATTGAGAAGACTTCATATTAAGTGGGGATAAAAAAGCAACAATAATGCCAGACTGGTGAAAGCAATTTCAAACTCATAGAATATAATTCTCACTGTTAAGATTTTTTTTTTTAATGAGGTTTATAATTCTGTCTTTAGTATCTTGGAGAATATGTCATCTGCTTGAAAAAAGTAATGTATTGCTCATTAATAAGTTGGATTTTCATGATGGAAATCATGAAGTTACACAAGATATATTTCTGTCTTAAATGAATAGATGCTGGATGGTTTTATAGCTCATAAAAACATGTGTTTTGCTTTATTTCCCTAGTAAATGTCTTTTTAGGGCAAGTTTACAAGCACTTCCAAGGCTTTTGTAAAATAAAGCAGTCTTGCAATTAATATATTTCAAATAAAATATGCGGCAGAATACCCTTGGACAATGACACTGATTTGAGAAATGGTCTCAAATGGAAAAAGATTTTTTGTTTTTCAGTTCCGTTGGGATACTTGTATCGCCCCAGTCAATCTGGAATCTTTTTTTCCTCTTCCAAAATATGCAACTATTCTGTCATGAGGAAAGCCCCTTTGTTTTAGCTGGCTAGACAAGTAAAGTCAGGCTTTTCACAGATTCACAGAATGTTAGGGGTTGGAGGGAACCTCAAAAGATCATCTAGTCCAACCTTCTTCTACTCTCATTTATTGCTACAGCCAATTTTTTCCCATTGCTTCTACTGGAGTAAGAAGCATGCATTGAATCTGTTGTACATCTTTATGGACAACCAAAGTTTTGCAAGATTTTCAGCTCTTACTAAAGCTTTCAGCATGCTTCTTGTCAAGTGACTCATTTTAAATGACCTGCTAATAATCTACTTGAGAAATGTTAAACCCTTCCAACTTTCTACTCCTTTATGCAGAATTGGTAGGTTTTGGCTCTGATAACAGGTAGATGATGCAGGCACACTAAAAATGGCATTTTGCAGCTTTGCATATATGTATCTTCTACTTAGTCCAGTTTCTGGGTATAATATTCCCTATTTTAGATATTCCAAGATGCCAAGAAAGGAGGCTTCCTCCTCTGGGTCTACAAATTTCTGTCCCCTTTTGATGAAGCTCAGCATGTAAAGTGTTCCAACTCTAGGGGCTCCCTTACTCCTCATTTAAAGCCCTGCAGCTTTTAATCCTGAGGCATGGTTGTCCTCAATGTACAATTTTATCATAGGATACCTCAACGTGTGAGATATCTGATGATTCTAAACTCTGTCACTTGATGGGACTTGTCTGCATGTTGTGATTTAGTTTGGCTTCTGGATTGTTCACAGTCCCTTTGTCTCTGGACTGTAATGGATTCTCATTCATTCATCAGTGGTGTATTATTCTTAATGGTGAATAAATCCAAGATTATTTCCAGTAACAATTTCTTTGATATCTTTATGTAAGCAATTTGTGTTTGTTTTGTTGTTTGTGTGTTTGGGTTTTTTTTTTTTAAACAACAGTTTTTATGTGAAAGGAGTTTTTGCTTAGAACTTAAGCTTTATTGATTTTCTATTCTCTAAAATCTGTTACAAAGCTTGGGGTACAGTTCATCCCAGAACTATGTTGTCCTAGTAGCAGTTTATTCTACTGTGAATTGCTGGAATGCCAAAGACACGGTACAATGTATCACAGCTTATCTTTGGTCTTCATCTTTATTCTGGTCTGTCAGTATTGCAAATTGTGGGTTACTGCCACGTTTCTATATCCCAGAGCTACATACATTATTTACATCCCTTCCCAGCTAGGTAAGCGTTGCAGGTTTTCACAACTGTTCCTCCTCAGACTCCTCTTCTGAAATACCCTCTTGTCGTTGCAATATCCCTGTGCCTGGCTAGCCTCTGCCTTTGTAGGCAGGGTGCACGTGAGCAGTGCTCTCATGTGATAGCTAATGACACCCAGCAACTCACTGAAATACCTCAGTAAGCTCAAAACTTCTCCTGCCCGTCTCAGCTCCACTGTTTCTCCAAATGGCCTTCTGTTTTTCAAAAGGGCTTTTCTAATTCTAGATGTCAAAACATGCTCTGCAACTTACAGCCTAGGTATTTGTTTCCCTTCCTTTGGTGATATTGGCTTTTGTTGTTTGTCTTTGCCTCCTTTGGTTACCATTGGTTGTACTTTTTTCTCCTATGTAACCACATGGCAAGATACCTTGTGACTTTGGGTCATTTGACAACATCCTCCCTTCCATACACCACCAATTAAAATGTAAATCATGAATTTGTAGTCTAGCATATATCAAGCCTAGTACAGGCTAACAAGATTTGAAAAGTGTTTTTTAAAAATAAACAAATGTATGGATTTTGTGGGCAGAAACTCTGATTTTGATCCAAACAATTCCTTGTTACCTTTACGCCTGGGAAGAGTATACCTGCCCTTCTCAGCCACAGATTGAATGTATTGTAATGATTCCTTTTTTTAATTACTTGCAGTGTACAGGGTGCTATGGAACAATAGTTGGATCACTGGAGGCACACTAAGAGAACTTTTGCAACCACAACAGTGCATTTACTTTGACATTCACCCAGCCTTTGAAAAGCAAAAATCTACCTCCCCCCTCCCTTCTGTATGCTCTCCTCTTGTCCTCCGTCCCCAAGTTGATGCTGGACTTACTATCTTGAGCCTGTATCTCAGGAGCATTCTCTGTTTAACTAGACATGAATAAAAGGAGAAATAAACTGTGACTTTTCTTTCCCTCTGCAGAGCTGACCCCTGAGGAGAAAGCCATGAGGATTGCCAAAGCTATGCGTAAGCAGTCATCAGAGGTGAAGGAGAAATGGGAGAACCTCAATGCCAGTGCCAGTATCTGGCAGAAGCAAGTGGACAAAGCATTAGAAAAACTGAAAGACCTGCAGTGTGCCATGGATGACCTCGATGCTGACTTGAAGGAGGCTGAAAATGTGAGGAATGGCTGGAAACCTGTGGGAGACTTGCTCATAGATTCATTACCAGATCATATTGAGAAAACTACAGTAAGTGTGGAACTCCTGGGAAATATTTAGCCTGTGTGAGAGTCAGACCTGTCCATTGTACTACACCTAGTCATGTTAGATAATTATGTACTATACACTTAAATGATAATGTACAGTTTAAAGTGCTCTTTAAAGATTAGGTCTGAGGTCTCAAAGAAAATCTAGTGCTGTGGCACCTTCACCGTCTCAGCTGTGATTACATAAACACATATGATCAGCAAGCTACAGATCTGTACACAATATAACATTCATGAATTGGGAAAAAAAAAAAAAACAAACAAACACGTGTTCTAGGACTTAAATACTTTTGTCCTAGAAATATTGTCTAGTCCATCATCAGGCCATAGGTATGTTTAGAGCCTAGCCCAGGCACTGGAGTATGAGTGAGTTGAGTCGTTTATCATTCCAGTAGTTGACAGTGGGCTCTCCTCCTTTTTGTAGTGGTGAAGCTGTCAGATCTTGGCCATCAGGTATAGCTTTCTTCTTAGAAAAACATTTAGACATCTTTCTATCATACAGAAGTGTATACATAGTTTTATATTTTGTTCCTTAACTTTCACGCACTTCATAAATCTCTTGCTTTTACTGTAGCCTGCCTTCTCTTCAGGTTTATTTTGAAATGAAGAACTCATACTACCATAGTGTGGTGTTCTGGGCCTACCAGTTCTTGCATTCAGCATCCCAAGCCACCCATGCAGGGCTGAGCACCCCAAGACGTGGCTGCTCATGGTGGGAAGCAGTCATTCCCTGCTTAGATGCATGAGTTGGGACACAGTAGTGCAGAGCTCCCTGAAGAAGGAATACCTTCTGGTAACTAACGTTGTCTGGGAGAGCTGACAGGAAATAGCACAGTGCTTGGGAGGGGAGTGCCTGAATATCACGGATTTCAGAACATGTGGGCATGCTCACATAGGCAGAGAACATTGCTGTTTCGGGCAGATTTAGCAGTTATCACCAAGCTTCACAAAGTCAACTTTTCAAGCTCAGGAATGAACATGGTAAAACTATTAGAGGACCTTGGGTTCATGTACCTGTCTGGTCACATCTTCAGAATGGGACACTGGTGATAGAAAAGTGAAAGGCCATGGGCTGCAACCACTTTTCTGCAAATTCTCTATGTGTACACAGCCTGTGGGCTCACATGAAATTAACAGACGACTGCATTATTACACATAGAAGAATGTAAGCATCCTTATTCTCCAATTTTTATTGTTACTTTCAGGTTTAATGGAACCAAAATCTTTAAAACAAAGACAGTTAAAGTTGATTTATGTCCAGACTGCTGATGACTTGAGAAGAGTAATGCATCTCCTGCTTCCCCTCTTATATTTTAATATAGATACTAAAGCAAGCAGTAAGATGATGATGCTGAATAGCTGTTTGTTCTCATGCTAAGAAGTGATTTGTCATATCCTGATGGCTTTTTTCTGTAAAGAAGAGTAAAGTGAGTTCTTGTAGGTTTTCGTTCTGTGGAAAGATGGAAACATCTGCTGAATAGGGGGCTGCTGGCTGTCTAGAAGCCCAACTCTTCTTTCTTGCCAGTAGATTCCTTCTGTTCTCAGGTCTGATGAGAGAGATTTTAAGGGGAGGTAAATAACTGAATCATCCAAAGAAAATATTTTTTTCCAGTTGTTTTGGATTGTTTCATGATGTTTAATCAAGCCATTTGTAGGATTGAACGATTAACTACTCACGGCAGGAAAGACATTTGATGTGTTTTTTTTTCAACTGTAACTAAAACTTGCATCAATTTTGTCTTAATACTGTATTTAGTTCCATTTGATTCAATGAACCTTTTTCTTCTTTTTAATCATCGTAACAGTTTTATTCTGCAGTTTTAATCAGGTAAAACATTGTATTCCTTTTCCTTTGAAGATACACTCCTTCATGCTTTGCTAATTCAGTAATAGTTTTTAAATTGAATTTTTGTCAGCTGCTTAATATTGGAAAACTGTAGTTACTAAACATATTTTTTTCTTAAGAGCACTTGACAGGCTGTATACTGTTAAAGCCCCTGGTAGAGCATTGCATATTTCTTTTTGGAAAGAAAAGGTCTAATGCCATATGGCACCACTATAAAAAAATATTTAAATTGTTTTAGGGGTGCAATTTGGATATGGGCTTTTGAGTAAATTTCTTGCTGTTTTTCTCTAAACATGAATATGAATGAGTTAATAAGGATACTGAAGTGTGAGCGAACTTTCTTTGGTGGAGAACAGAGAGAGTTGCATATGGTTGTTTAGCATAAGCTGCCACGTTGGGCAAGTCAGCACCATGCTGAGTTTACGGTGGCTTTTGTGCTGCTCAGACATCCTTGAACATAAATATATGCTTCTTGCTCTTTTAGGCTTTTAGAGAAGAAATTGCTCCCATCAACTTGAAAGTTAAAACAGTGAATGACTTATCTAGTCAGTTGTCTCCACTTGACCTTTATCCATCATTAAAGATGTCTCGTCAACTAGATGATCTTAATATGCGGTGGAAACTTTTACAGGTATTCTTCTGAATGGGTACAGTAGGTGGTGGGGGGTGGGATGCTTCTTACTCTCTTCTGTTCTCTTAAGAGTTGTGTTCTTACCATTTTTTCATTATTTCTGTCTTTAAGCCATTACTCTAGTGGTGCCAAAAAAACTAAGAAAACTATCTTTCCTTCTGTGGCTTGACCAAAAATTTTTCCTTTCAAGTTGTCTCAGCAATTTACTCACTCAGGAGACTGCATTAATCTCTGGAGACTATTGTGAACAATAAATTGTGAGCAATAGTCTGGAGACTATTGTGAACAGCAAAAAAGCTGCATGCTTTTTTGAATGTTTTATATGAGTAATTTTACTGCATAAATCGTTACTGAAAATGGGTGTACATGTTTCTGTTGCATTTCAATCTCCTGTGAAAGCTGCTTTATTTTGGTTTTAAATGTTCAGTTTCTATAAAGAATTTCATTTTAAGTGACTTAAGTATTAGTAGAGCTATAACACAATGTGAGCAAAGCTCATTTAGCATTATAAAACAGAAGAGGGTATGCTGTGAGAGATTCTTATTGCTTAGTTATGATTATTGTGCTTAAATGGTCTGAGAAAGGTAAATCAATATGCCTGATTGTAGTTCAAACTCATGCACAGTTTCATAGTAAATGGTTTAATGAAGTTTCTTACCTCAGTTAATGTTCATTTATCAATTTTTGCACTTTCTCACTTTTTTTTTTTCTTTTGGTAGGAAATACTTGTTGTGAGTCAATGGCTATTTATTTTTTTACCTGGTTTCTAAGGATGATATTAAGTGTCTAAAAGACTTGAGGGAAGGATGGAGGATCTGTTGTGTCTCTAGCTGAGAGTAGTGGGACTGAATTTTCAAAACCTGGGTGTCAGTTTCTGGGTGTTTCATCAGTTTTAAATCAGTTGCCTGTAAGAGGCAAAACTGTAAGTTTTAGAAGTCATTTCAGTCCTTCCCTCTTCTAATGTAATTTGTTACTGAGTTTTGTGGGGGGTTTGCTTTTTTTGGGGGTTGTATTTTTGTGTCAACTTGAGTTAACTAAGCAACCAAACTGCTGCTGAGTGTGCTAATGCACTTTCCATTAATAAACCACGGGGGAGTCATGTCAGCCAATGAAGTGGTGTCTTCTGAAATTATTCTGTGCTGGAAAGGCAGCTGTGACATCAATACAAGCAAATTGAAACTGTTGACAATGGATATCTGACAATGGAAGGGTTGGGAGGAGGTCAGGAACTTCAATGGTCAGCTACAGTCACCATGAAACTATTGTTTCCTGATTATTCATCCTCAGTGCTCACAGGAGAATGCTGCAAGATATGACTTTCATCAAGAAAATGAGAGAAAAAAATATAACCTTGAATAGCTGCATGTCAAAGTGCAGTGATACAGAGACAAATTTATTTAAGGGAAAATGAATGTAAATAAGTGTTTTTATTATCGTGGCCCTGGTGTTACAAAGTAAATGCAATCTAAATTTTGTGTATCTGTGTTTGTGTAGGTGTCTGTAGAGGATCGCCTTAAACAGTTACAGGAGGCACACCAAGATTTTGGGCCTGCATCACAGCACTTCCTTTCCAGTAAGTTCTTTGAATTAATAGATGCTTTGAGATACGACGGCTTTCTCAAAAGCTGACTGCTCTTTACTCCAGGTTTCCCCCATGGCTTGAGGAACAGGAAGTTCCTCTTGCATTTTGTTATCTACCTCCCTGTTTTCCTAGGAGTGTTCCATCTTTGGAACTCTGAAATTCTCACCGGTGTGCTTCCCTTGAGGATCACTGCAAGATCTTACTGAGTTATGTTTGCATTCCTAGTTGCTTTATTCTTTGTCCTGTTTCTTGCAAGGTCTGATCTGTGCATGTTGCAAAACCTTTGTCTTTGTAAACTCTTCTTCTCGTCCCCTGCAACCTCTTTCCTCAGTTTCCTTTTACTTCTACACTTGCTGGGATGGTACAAAGGATGAGCTGCCTGTTTTTTTTTTTTTTTATTTTATTGTTAAAAGCTTTATGTCATACATTCTTAGACCTTCAAAGAAAGGGGTGGGGAAAGCAAACCTCCATCACTTCCTCTTGAGACGCATCTTTGCATCTTTTTCTACCACTGAAAATTTTCCACTTGCAAGCCTATAATTTACTATATACTAAGAGATATCATTTGATATCTCTTTGTCATTTGATTTACTTGTTAAAGATAGGGAAGTTATGATATCAAGACTGATGCTGATTTTCTGATATTCCAGCCCATTTGCCATCACCAGAGCTCATAATATAAAGTGTTAACCCAATAAGCTCTCCTGTTTTTAACTGAGGGCTTCAATAATAAAGGTAAAATTATTGCAGGAGTTGAGAAGTGAACATAAAAATGAGCAGCTCTGTCCCAGAGGTTCTCAAGTGCTGTATGTCTATGTATATCTGAAAAGCTAATATAATTTAAAAAAATAACTAAATCTTGATTTCTTCTTAAGTTACATGACAACCATGTTCTTATTTTAAACTGACAACTAGTTTTTCAGTAAGCGTTATGGTAAACAAGATACAGTGCATTGAAAATGTTACAGCGATTATGCAACATACCTATTCCTGGAGCTCCTTTGTCCTTTTTATAAACTGACAGAGCAAACAAACATCTTTAAAAGTATGTTTGTGTGGGGTTTTTTAATCCTGATTAAAAGTATTCTATAGTATTGTCACAGTGGTTTTGTAGCCCTTCCCATCTTAAACTTGTAACCTTGACCTGGACAGTAAACCCACGTAATGATTTGCTAAAAAGAATATAGATAAAGTGGTACCTTTGGCACTGTTGAAAACCACAGCGTTATATGTTTGAGAGAGTAGTCAGTCTAGTTTGTGTATTAAAACAGGCTAGGAAGCAATGCAGAGAAGATGCAGTATCCCCTACTCCTGCTGGTTTGAGAAGTTCCTGACTTCACTTCTCCGTCAGTGTTAAGGCTGGTTACCTCTCCTCACCCAAACCAATGCAAATGTTCAGGTGACTGATCTGAAGAAAACAAAACAAGAGGTATCAGTGAAAAGTCCACATGTAAAACAAGGAATCTTGCCAGGCAGGGTTGGCTGGTTTTGTTTTCTTTGATTTGAATAATTTCCTTGATTTGGTTTATAGCGTGCCACAGCAAAAAATTGCACTCACAGGACTGAGTGGCACACTGGCTTGCTTGGTGGATAAAACATTCATAGAATTATGTCCAAAGAGACTATGCATTGCCTTGTCAGCATGCCGCAGCCTTCCTTGGAGCATCTGCTCCAGGCTGAAGGGGACATTCAGTTTATCACAGAATCACGGAATGTTAGGGGTTGGAAGGGACCTCCAGAGATCATCGAGTCCAAACCCCTGCCAGAGCAGGACCATCTAGTCTAGGGCAGGTCACACAGGAACACATCCAGATGGGTCTTAAAAGTCTCCAAGGTAGGAGACTCCACAACCTCCCTGGGGAGCCTGTTCCAGTGCTCTGGAACCCTGACAGTAAAGAAATTCTTCCTCATGCTGGTGTGGAACTTCTTGTGTTCCAGCTTGCGACCATTGCCCCATGTCCTATCACAGGGCATAAGTGAGCAGAGGTTCCCCTTCCTTCCTGACACCCAGCCTGCATATATCTATACACCTTAATTAGATCTCCCCTAAGTCTTCTCCTCTCCAGACTAAAAAGACCCAGGTCTCTCAGCCTCTCCTCATAGGGCAGGTGGTCCAGTCCCCCAGTCATCCTCGGAGCCCTCTGCTGGACTCTCTCAAGTAGATCTCTGTCCCTCTTGAAATGGGGGGCCCAGACCTGGACACAATACTCCAGGTGAGGTCTCACCAGGGCAGAGCAGAGGGGGAGCAGGACCTCCCTTGTTCTGCTGCATACACTTTTCTTAATGCACCCCAGGATCCCACTGGCCTTCCTGGCCACAAGGGCACACTGCTGTCCCATGGACAACTTGTTGTCCACCAGGGCTCCAAGGTCCCTCTCCACAGAGCTGCTCTCTAGCAGATCACCTCCTAACCTATACTGGTGCATTTTATTACTCCTGCCCAGGTGCAGGACTCTGCACTTATTCTTGTTGAACCTCATTAGGTCCCTCTTGGCCCAGCTCTCCAGTCTGTGCAAATATCAGTGAATGGCCACACAGCCTTTGGGTGTGTCAGCCAAACCTCCCAGTTTTGTGTCATCAGCAAACTTGCTTCCACAAAGCATGTTGGTGGATACCACAAAGAGCTATAGCCAAGCGCAACAGTCCTACAAAAACAAGTAATATGCAGTTAACCATTTAAATTATTTGCTAAATTTTTTTTCCCTACACAAACTACAGCAAAAACTTCTTAAAAGAAATAATAATCTGTTTCAAGAGCTTGAACTAGTCGGAGTTACAGAACATAATACCTACAACTTTATATGAAGACTGTTAAATGAAAGTCAGGAACTGCAACTTCGAAAGGAAAGTAATAAAAAAATCATTAAATCTGGAAAAATGAAGGTTTCATCCTGGCAGGTTGAAATAGTGTGTGTTTTAAATCAAATTTTTCAAACCTTCTTAGCAGCCATAAGTGACTTCTAACTGTGAGGAACAAGTAGAGTGATATTCTGAGTAGAATAATCTCAAACTCCTAAAATTGAGATTATGATACATCTCATGCAAATCTTTATCTCCAAAGTTGTACTTCTGAATTAGAGGGGAGGTTTTCATCAGTGCTCATTTGACAGCAGCTATTTGAAATTTACCTCACTGTTACTTTTCTTCCAAATCCCTACAAAAGACCGTAGCTTGTCATCGCACCATTTTCAGCTGACTAGCTCTCAGTTGTCATTTAATCAGTAATTTGCGCTAGCAAAACACCTATTTATACCTGTTCATCAGATTTGTAAATCAGGGGTTTGAAATGACCTCAGAGGACCATCTGGTCCAACCTTTCATGGGAAGGGAAGCCTAGATGAGATTATCTACCACCCTGATTCCATCCACCTTAATCCAGTGCTTTCATCTCTGCGGCGGCTAGTTACATTTCTTACTAAGGGAAAAAAAAAGACACAGTGCAGCATTTAATATTGCTGTTGCAGTTCTAGTAACACCAATTGCATGAATTCATTCAGACCATTGCTAGAAAGTGCTTCAGAATATTTTTGAAGACAATGTGACAATGGCCCTTCCTAAAATGTCCTGCAGCAGGAGGCTGAAGTAAAGCAGTAGTAGTAGGCCACTATGGCATCTGATACCTGTCTTTACTGAGCTGTTTTTCCTTGCCTATCAGTGACAGGCATAGTTTGATTGTTCTTTTTTAGTGCTTTTGAGAGGGAAAGCAAGCTCCTTGCAAGATAGTTACTGATCACTAAATTTTTACACAGATAATACAGTTGAAGAATCTATATAATCCATTATTCTTTACAGATTGTTTTGCTGTCTCCTGCCTTGACAAACAATTACTTTTCTTTCTGTAATTCATTTTTTTTCTTCTAAGGCCCACGAACCACTCCTCTCATCTGTGTTTCTTGTATGCCTCTTAGAAGGACCCATGCACATACCCAGAGCCCTGGCTCCACATGTTCCCTAACAAATAGCCTAGTTCTTCAGTGGCCTGCTCAAAGCAGCGCTGAGTGGTGTCCAGCCTTGCTCATATCTGCAGGCCTGCTACTGAGTGCCAGAATTGATAACTACTCTGCTCAGTTTTTATATAGAAACTGTTTTTAAAAAAGGAATGGGAATTCCATTTGGCAGTTTCACGCAGAGGAGAACTGGCAGGGTTTTGAGAAAGGTCGTTCCCAAGTAAATACAGTATGGCCTGGTCCATAATAATTAACAATTAGATTTATTATGCTGTTTAGTCCATATCTGTGTTAGTGCAGAATATCTATAGTCTGTCATAGCACACAAATCATACCTAAACAAACTGCGGCCAGATTTTTCTTCTTAGTTAGCTGACATAATTAAGTGTAGTAGTACTGGAGGCACCGTAGGTTCCAAACTGCAACATGAAAGAATAAAACTCTAAAGCTGATGGTCACCTTCATCTATGTGGTTGTTTTGTTTTGTTTTTTTCCTTTTTTTCACTTAGTAATGCCTAAGGATTATTTTTCAATTAACTACCTCTATTAGAGCATTTAGCCTTTCTATATTTTTTACACTTTTTTGTTTCCCTCTACCTACCTCTTTATTGCAAATGTGAATTTTTTCTTTAAATATTGATATGGAATTTTCTTCATTTTTTCCATTGGATAATGGGGTTTATGTGGTTCACTGTAGTTTCTCAAGCATTCTTTCCAGTCTTTCAGTACTTGAATGTTTCTTAAATTATGAGATAGGAAATTTTGTGCCATCCAGAAATTAAAGGTCACAGTCATTAAAAATCTCAGGGATCAGCTGGCTGGGAGCAGGGTGAGACCTGCCTCTCTGCAGCACCACCACCCTATGGGGTTTGAGCAGCTTGTAAGTCTTCACTGCAGTCTTGAGAAGTCTTAGGGGAAGAAGGAAGAGTTACTTTGAAATGGATTTTTTTCTGAAGAGAGATGAGCTGTAAAGTAGGCCATGCTTGTATAAAATTATATCGAGAGTTTAGTTACTTGAGATTCGGTATGGATCAAAGCTGTCTCCCATTTTACCAGGATTTTAAACAGAAGTGATAGCACCTAAGAGTAGGCATTCTGTCGTGGAAGTGTTGGCATGTGTACAGTGTAAATTATTCCCATTGTGATGATCAGTTGTTCCTACCTGTTCTTTCAGTCTCTGCTTCTACAGTGAATCTGGTGAAATGAGTTTCTTCTATGATATAACACTAATGAACCAGGCACTGGTCTGATAATTTCTGGTAGTACATGTACATACCTATGGTTTTTCATTAAATGGCAACCTTTCAATTGTGTGCACCAGCACAATTGAAAAATTGTGTGGGAAAAAAGGAATAGTTTCCCCACTTTTATCTCCCAAGATCTTTAGATAAGCAGAATTGTGGTGTCATGAATGACTTCATACTTTTTTCAACTCAGGGTGCAGAAGGCTTCTTGTTGTTATGGATGATACCTGCCGCTTGCATAAATTCTGCAAAGATTACCATTGTTCAGCAAAGAGTGCAAAGACAGGTTTTAATGCCTTTTCTGTGGTCATACAGTGTTAATAAATATTAAATTTGAGTTGCAAATAGGAGCTACGGGTTGTAACCAAAAAAAATAAGGGTGATATTTCTCCTTGTTGTTCTGTCACAGAGCATTAATTGTAGTAGTGAAAGCATTTATTTTCAAAGCTTAAACTGATAATAATTCTACAGAGGTAGGAAACCCAGGGTCTCCATTTTCCCTGGATGGTTAGTTTGCTTGCTTAGAATTTATTATCCTTCTTTGAAGTAGAATCACCACATTTGTTTTATTTCCAGCTTGGCATCAAATAGATGCCTAGAATCATCTTGATAGATTGCTGTTGTTTTCTCCAGATGATTTTATAATTACTAAAAGTTGTCTGTGGAACTTGAACTGTTCCCATTTAATTTATTATTACTGTTGTAGTTGTTAAATAAATAAATAAAATAAAAATAGTTTTGTTTTGTTGGAATTTTTTTAACAAGTACTTTCTAATAGTTGTTCTCTTTATTTTCTCAGCCTCAGTACAATTTCCATGGCAGAGGTCTGTTTCACATAACAAAGTGCCCTATTACATCAAGTAAGTTTGCTTTGATTCTTTTTCCTTAAGCATAACAGAGAGTCTTACCACCATTACCAGAAAACCATAGATACTAAGTAGCAACTAGGAATGTTATCAAGAGTTTCTTTACGTAGTGTTATGCTGCTACATACATGATACGTTTTCATGTTTATTGCTTTGCATGCTGTATAATTTAGAAATATGTAAAAAGAAATCGAAGACAAACCCTAAAAACCTCACTCAGATAGGAAACAGCAGAGATGTTCCAGTGTAATACAGCATCAGTATTCAGACTAGATTTGTTCTTATGCGTGTGGCTCATCCAGAGTATAAACTGTAGAATAAAGGCAAAAAAAGCTGAATACATAATGCATTTGAAAATTCAGAGTTTAAAACCTGTAGCAGAACAGTGATGACTAATATTTAGACCATTCATCATTTTGTGCAGAATTCCTTTAGAAATAGTCACATGTTGCCTGTCCTATCATTCTCTTTACTGCATGGAAGTTTTTATAGTGCCTGATATTGAGATATATTTAACATTAGTGTATATAGTGACAAAAATTGTACAAATACCTTGTCTCCCAAGAGGAATGGTTGAGAGATTTCTTTTGAAAATAATAAGAAATAGTTATGTAGGTGTGGTGATTTTGATGTGTTCTACTTGGAGCAATCTTTAACTTGGGTTTTCTCATTCCATCGGCATTTATTTATGTACTGTTTGCCAATACTTTAAAGGTCAAAGATTGCAGCTTTGAGAGAAGGATAACTTTTTTGATAGAGAGGTAAATGAAATTTTAAGAAGGTATAGTGTACAGTAAGCCAGGCCCAGAGTAGTTAATTTTAAACTGAAGTCAGTCTGTATTAAAATATTACCAGTTTGAATTTTGAAAAAAAAAAAAAAAAAAGAGGTAGGGTTTTTAAGTCTGTGGGATGACTATGAGTTGAACCTGAAGATAATTCATTCTGAGAGAACATCAGTGAGGACTTTGTACTATTGTGTCTTGCCATCATAAATCTGAGAGCCACATTTTGTGCTTCAAATAATTTGAGTGCTTGAGAGCTTTGAAAAGCAGGTGACAGCAAATGTGTTGATCAAACCTGTTGTCATCATTCTTGAGGTGTGATGGTTGTTTTTCAACTGTGATACGAAGATTAATTTTTTTTAAGGGGCTCTGTGTAGGTAACTAGAAAAAAGAAAAACTCACTGTGAAGATCCTTGAATTATCTATAAAATCATTTGCACCTTTCCTGAAAAGTTTTTCAGGAGGCAACAGAAAGCTTTGCCATGCTGGGGGAAAGGTTCCTCTGTCAGTCCCAAGTGGAAGAGGAGAGGGCAGAGGTTGGATGTGGGGGCACACTGACTGTCCAGTCTCAGGCAGCACTGCAACTGGAATGCTGCACCTGCAGCACTAATTCAAAGAAAACACTGAAGTATCAAACTACAGAGGACAAAAGGAAAACTACCCCAAACAGTCCTTTTTTTTTTTTTTTCCCCCTTGTGGGTATGTCCTTAGTGGTCATTGAAAGATGGCAATTCACGTTCCTGCTCCACCTGGTCAGAGGTGGGAATTTGGGAGTGTTTACCAGGTGTGAGCTGGCCTGCAGAGGGGTCTATGGAGCTCATGGTTACATTCAGAGGTGGAGGACAGAGGCAGGATGGATAGTGCTGCCACTGCAACAGATGGAACAGACTAAGATTAAAATTTCTAATCTGTGCTGAGCAAAGCAAATATTTTTAATGTGACTTTTTCACATGCATATTCTTTTTCTCATACTACATAATACCTATTTTTGAATTTCTCGGTATCTCCCTTGCCCTGCTTCAGCCAGAGTTCAGTTTTTGAGAAATCTTTTTTTTATGATGACTAGCTCAGGAGAAAGTAAGTCTTTGCAGTGTGCACACTGATACTGTGGGCTTGCTCTGTGTCATGGTTCAGGGTTAGGGCTGCTCCTGGACTGATAACAGATGCTCTCTCTTAACCCCCATACCCCATCAAAGGGAA